CCCATGAGGTCGGATGACCAAACTACTATTTATTCAGACGAACGCGCCGAGACCGATGCTGGCAGAGTGGCGCCGAGCGGGGCGACCGAAGCCGAAGCCTCGCGGGCTGAGCTCGGCGGCGCCAGCAACACTCCGCGGCAAAACAGCGCGAACGTCGCGGCTCGCGGCGGACTCATGCGGCACTCATCATCTTGGAGTGCGAGGCGAGGCTCTAATGCCGTGACGTCACCCCGCCCCGCCCCGCCCCGCCCTGCCCCGCGGCTCACATGGTACCCTCGGTACCCTGCCGCCTCCATCCAGACACAATATATTCAGCGCGCGCTGCCTCCTCCGCGCCTCTCCGCGGCCAGCACAGTCCCGCGGCTGGTCCACGATGCCGCGCCGCTCCCATCTCGTTCTCGCGAGGCGGGGCGTATGGTGAGGCGCGGGTGTGGCGGGGCGGGGCGGGGCGGGGCTTGGCGGGGCGTCGCGTATGTATGCGGCCCCTGCAGTCGGGTCACGCCGCCGGCCGCATGGCGACGACGCTCGCCGCCCCAGTGCTCCTCGGGGGGCCCTTTTCCTTTGTGTCCGCGGCGGGCCGAGCGGGGAAATGCCGAGTGGCAACACCCGTATGTTTCAAAAAGCGAGTCGCCGACGAATAAAAACCGTAGAGATGGAAAATTATTCCGAACGCATGTGGGCGTCGTGTGTCCAGTGCGTCGCCAGTAAAAGTTTTCGACCAGCTGTGTGTGCTGATGCTTTTGAACCTAAAGGGCGTATGCAATGTACTCCTCACAATTTATTTTCACTTGCGCGACTACCCGGTTTGTCACGATTAGCAATCTCCGCAAGCACACTATCCCACACGGAAATCATACGGCACGTAACTACATCGCACCCCCAGGGCGTCCCCCTTGAGCGCGGTCCGCATAGCTTGTTGTATGCGACTAGTTAGAGTTAGGGGAAGAGGAGGAGGGGGAGGGAGCGGGCGCAGGGGGGGCGTGTATACACGAGGGGCGTGCACACGAGGCGCACTAACAACTACGTATACGACTCCATTCCGGTGTGCTAGGCCCGAGGTGTGCCGGGGTCGAAGGGAGGGGGAGGGAGATGGCGGCGGAAGAGACGAGACTGACAGTGTGAGCAGCGACCGATAGGGAGGAAGCCCACCCGTCTATTTCTAATCACCACCCTGGCGCCGACCCGCCCAAACTAGGAAATAACAAACACCAAAACCCTGGCCCCCCTGCCGGCGGGGCGTGGCGGGGCGTGGCGGGGCGCGTGGTGTGCGCATGGAGCGCGTATGGGTGCGCGCCCACGCGCCGCTGGGCTGCCCCAGCGCAGGTTGGCGCTGTGTGTTCCGCGTGCGTCCGTCACATTGTACCTCGTCCACGTAAGTAATGGCGGAGTCCTTGATACCATTCTCCTCTCTGGCCGCGCGCCGCGCCCCCGTCACGTGCGTGACGAGGAGGACGGACGTGAGCGGCAGCAGAGCGGCAGCGGCCTACACACCGCGCTGCCTACCTCCACAGGCGGATGGTTGCCTATCTCCGCAGGCGGACGGCTGCCTATCCTGTCTCCGCAGGCGGCCGGCTGCCTATCCTGTCTCCGCAGGCGGACGGCTGCCTACCTCACCTGCTAAGGCGGATGGTTGCCTACCCTGTCTCCGCAGGCAGACGGCTGCCTATCCTGTCTCCACAGGCGGCCCGCTGCCTACCTGCGAAGGCGGATGGTTGCCTATTCTGTCTCCGCAGGCGGACGGCTGCCTATCCTACCTTCACAGGCGGAAGGCTGCCTACCTCCGCAGGCGGGAGGCTGCCTACCTCGCTGCTGCTCTACACCACGCCCCCGCCAGAGGTCCGCACCATTACCCTAACGCTAATTGGACAATTAGGGTCAACTCCACCAGCAGCAGCACAGCCCAGCAGCAGGAGAAGGCGATGCTTGCAGGAGGGGAGGAGAGAGAGAGAGACGAGGTCCCATCTCAGGACGAAACCCAACGCCGGCAGAAGTGGAAGCCCCCCGGGGAACCCAACACTGGGATGACTCGGGTGCTCGGAGGCCGTGGAGGCCGTGGAGGCCGGCGGATGGGCTGGATTCGGTCTGGAGGGGCGCATATAGGCGCGGCGCCCGCAGCTGTCAGAGCGGCGGCGCGGCGGGCCTGGCGAGGCGAGAGCACTATTGACGGCCTGCCGTTAAATCTATCAGCATCCGGCCATCCCGGCCCGGGCTAACTGCTTCCGCGCGGACCCAACGCTCGCATGGATGATTGATTCAACTACTACAACGTTGGACCAGCTTTAAATAGTAAAGGCAAGTCATTTAAAAATAAAAACCAAACGCGCATACATTTTCACGCACCCTTCACTCCCCCCCCCCCACCGTTGTTGGATTGGCGCAATGTGGCAACGCCGCCAATCCCAGTCACTCGCCGCTCCATTCCACTTGCACCGGGCGCTGATGCTGGGGCCCACCTGCCCACCCCACCCCACCCCGCGCCACGCCCCGCGGCTACCGCGCTGCGCTGCATCCAAACGCGGCCCCGGTCGGACCCCGGCCCGCGGAAGCATGTCATGATGGGTACACTGCCGACAACAAACTTTCTTTGCACGACGTGTCACACTGTCATGGCCCTCTCTCCCCCCTTCTCTCTCTCTCTCTCTCTCGCGTCCACTCTCCGAATGCTAAACAAAAGAATGACAGCGTACGACGTGCTCAGGAGTCGTATATAAAATGAAGGTGAGTGCGAGACAACAGTATTGCCGTGTCTTTGATGAAATGTCATCTCAGTTGACTTTCTCTGCCACCGGACTCCGTCATCCGCAGAATTCTTTTTTTTTTCCTTCCCCCCTTTTGCCGGCAGCAGCAGCAGCCCTGCCAAGCTGCGCGCAGGACGCGTGGCTGTCGCCAGATTTGTATTTCACGGACGGGGAAGTATTTCAAACAAGAGCTTTCTCTGAAAGCTAAAAGATCTCGGAATTAGGTTTCCCCTCGAGAGCTTCTCCCGACAGGTCGGCGTCCAAACTTTTGCATGAAACGACGAAAATTAAGAAAAGGAAGATTACTGAGCAGACTCTACCTTTTCCCCGGGAGTGTACCGGTGCATCCAGAAGTCACGACCCAACAGGGTGCGGCAGCGGTGGCAAACGAGACGGGGCAGAGCGAGCAAAGCAGTGCGGGTGCCCCGCTCACCACACCACACCTCCCCCCGCCCCACCACACCCCACCATGCCCTGCCACACCGCGAGGAAGCAAAAAGGTCGATCCAAAGACGTTGGAGCACTGGATTCCAATTAAACGCTACCCTTTGGAAGCAGACGGCTTGCCTCGGGGCGACCTGTGCAAATGACGTGGGATACTACTACAGAAGGGTAGCGCGGAGTGGGAGTGCCTGGGGAGTAGCGGGGGGACTTCACGGACCTTATAGTGTCCGAGAAGAGATAGTGCGTATAAGATGCTTTGTTGTGCACCAACACATGGAGAAGTTACGTGGCAGAGAGCGGGCGGCAA